CAAAATATATAAACTTAAGTAGGTCAGGATGTGATTGCGTCTTGACAAAAAAAAAGAAAAAAAAATAGCTTGGGGGTCCTGGGAAACACCTAACCGAGAAGTTTTTACCATATTTAACTTAATTTCTCACATTGTTACTCATTTCCTGCTGCAACCTCTTCTGCTTTAACATGCTTCTATACCTACTGCTGGAGAGTTTTATGTTCGTACACATCATAGGGTCCCCCTCTTGGGAGACACACAAGTATGCGTCACCAGCCTGGTCGTCTTCTCTCAAATCCACCCAACAACGTCAGCTAGAGAAGGTACAGAAAAGGGCCTGCAGAATCATGCTCAGCGCAGAATACTCCGGCTACACCAACGCTCTCTCCACCCTGGAAATGCCATCCCTCAGTGACCTCCACCACCAAGCACTGGAAAGGTTTGGCCGTGGACTACTGCACCATCCTCATCATCGCCACCTCCTGCCACCTGCAGCCCCCCACCCACCTCGCGCAGTCCGCCACTTCAACAAAATTCAGCCCATAAGAGCCCGCACCGATAGATATAAGAACAGCACCATCCCATCTATTGTTAAAATAATAAACAACTCCTGATTTATGTACTGTACAGCCCTGTAAATGTATTCAATGCATATTATATCATTATGTCTAAATCAAATGTAAGTCTGTATATTTTCAGCCACCGGCTGGAACTCTCTTAATAAACCGTTTATTATTATTATTATTATTATTACATAAACATGCCCTACAGCCCTGACCTCCCTGGGAACACAAACATGCCCTACAGTCCTGACCTCCCTGGGAACACAAACATGCCCTACAGTCCTGACCTCCCTGAGGACACAAACATACCCTACAGCCCTAACCTCCCTGGGGACACAAACATGCCCGACAGTCCTGACCTCCCTGGGGACACAAACATACCCTACAGTCCTGACCTCCCTGGGGACACTAACATGCCCTACAGCCCTGACCTCCCTGGGGACACAAACATGCCCTACAGTCCTGTGTGACCTCCCTGGGGACACAAACATGCCCTACAGTCCTGACCTCCCTGGGGACACAAACATGCCCGACAGTCCTGACCTCCCTGGGGACACAAACATGCCCTACAGCCCTGACCTCCCTGGGGACACAAACATGCCCTACAGTCCTGACCTCCCTGGGGACACAAACATGCCCTACAGTCCTGACCTCCCTGGGGACAGAAACATGCCCTACAGCCCTGACCTCCCTGGGGACACAAACATTCCCTAAAGCCATGACCTTCCTGGGGACACACACGTACCTTACAGCCCCGACCTCCTGGGGGACACACACACGCCCTGCTGAGTTGCCTATTCAACTCTGAAATACTGCATGGGTTATTAAATAAATTGTGATCATCAGAAAGTGTAAAATTATTATAGAAACTTAGTTATATTGAAAAATGCAGAGCCACCCCCCCCCTACCCTGCCAGTGGCGGCGGAGGATGGTGGATCAATCCGTTTCCTTATCTATTTTTATTTTTGTCTATTCATATTTTTTCGCCCCTTAGACCCTGATGTGGGTCGTTGACCTGTGCCCGGGTGGGCTATTCTCCTTTTCTGTTTTTTTTTCTTTTTTTACGGGGAATAGCCCACCTGGGCACAGGTTATCGACCCACATCATGGCCTAGGGGGCGAAAAAATAAGAATAAAAAGATATTAAAAATACAAAGGAAAAAGTTATGTTAATCTACACCACGAAGATGCCGGAAAGCCAGCTTTTTAAAGCGAGACATTGTATGAGTATAGAAATACAGAAGAAGGCAGAGCATTCCACAGTTTGGCTGTGTGAGGAAAGAAGATGTACTATAACGGGTTATTCTAGGGTGACCGACAGCCACAGAGAAATGGTGGGAACCGCGGGCAAGAGGTGTGTTACGAGCCTTGCCGGTGGTACACAGGATGCCAAATCCACCGAGCAATGCCCGTTAAAGTACCTGTAAAAGAGAGAGAGTAAAGCAACATCGCGGCGAAGAAAAAGGGAAGAGCCACCCAAGATATGAGAGCAGTATTCCAAGTTAGGACGAATGAATCCCTTATATACTTGAAGCAACTGCTCAGGAGTGAAGTAGCTACAGCATCTGTACAGCATTCCCAATTTTCGGAAGGCAGCTTTAACAATGTTGAGGATATGTGGCTTCCATGACATATTAGAGGAAATGGTGAGGCCTAGCATATCTATTTCAGAATTTGGCAGAATGATTGCGTCCTGAAATGTAATTGGTGGGAGATCATCTAATTTAGAAAGTGTAATTGGTAAATACTGAGTTTTATTGCTATTGAATTTAACCAACATGGCTTCACAAGCGGGCGTTCATGTCTAACTAATCTATTAACATTTTTTTCATCTATTTTCGAATCAGTGGACGAGGGGCACAATTATGATGTGGTATATCTCGACTTTAGCAAAGCCTTCGACAGAATCCCTTACGAAACAGTGGAGGCCCATAGCATTAAAGGAGATATTCTAAAATGGATTAGGGCGTGGTTACAGAACAGTAAACAACCAAGTGAAACGTGCCTTTTCATCCGCATTGTTCCGCGTCACTAAGTGCTGGAGTTCTCCAAGCTCAAGTACCAGACCCTGTATTTGTACTCCAACATAAACTTGACGAATATATCGGCGTGAACAGCAACCGTGAATTTGTGATGACACTAAAATGGGGCGTATAATTAAATATGTCGAGGACTCCGCAAAGAAACTACGAATCTGAACAAACTTTTCGAATGATCTGAAATGGCGAATGTGAAATTGTGTGGACAAATGTAAAGGTGCTCAGCATAGGAGATGTAAACGAAACTGAATGCCAGATGAACAACGATGCCATTGAAATCCCGACTGCGAGAGAGAGATTTGGGAGGCTAAGATAATGAGAACCTTAAGCCAAGTAAACAATCTGTTTTTGCTCATGTGAGCTAATAAAAGTACTTGAGTTCCATACAAAGGGTGTTGGATTACAAAGACTGGCAGGTCATCTTAAAATTCATATCTAAAGCTTGTGAGACCTCCACCTGGATTACACACCAGTTCAATTCTGGTCACCATACAGAATGGATATAGAATCCTTGGGAAAGAATTCAGAGGAAGATAACCAAGGAATAATCGACCATTACAAGACAGCCTTGAAATCATAGAGACAGGTTAATGCATCTTAATTTGCCTCATGAGGGAGCACATTTGTAAGCGAGAGGCAAATCACCAGTCGAGGGTCTATACAGAAATAGAAGTCGAGGTTAAACCAAAGGTGATACATAACAAAATTATCAAACTATCAACCAGTTAAACTCGGACAATGGCTGTCAAATTAGACAAATTTGAATTTAGGTAAAATAGGTAATGATGAGTTTAGAAATAGAGTAGTGGACGAAGTGGAACAGTTACCAAATATATGTTAACTCTGAAATATACTGGATAGCCATTACCGATTTGGATGGATATATGAAAATAATAGGGTTGAATGTGCAAGTAAGTGAGACTGCCTAATATGGGCAATAGGCCGCTACGGGTCCTTCATTCTTATGTTCTGGCCATAGATGAAATAGTGTCAGCTCTAGAAACGGATCTGGTTTGAGAGTTGGGAGGAAGGGGAAAATGAAGAAGGGGTAGAAGGTAGAATCATCAAGCGTGAATGGATAAAATTAGTTGTGGTGTGAAGTAAATCACTGATAAAGAAGGAAGAGTAGGTGAAGAACCTTGAGAACCCTGTGGGTTGCTGTTTGGTGAGAACGAGCGAGAAGTTAATCCCCCACGTTTTAAAAGTTCCCAACAAATTTAAACCCGAAAACAAAGCTTGGGAGTGCAGATTTTCTTCTAGTAATTGAATTAATTTATAGCGCAATTGATAGCATCATTTCTCACTGCCTCTACATAGGACGAGTTCATACGAAAATACCGCCATTCATTAACGGTATATATAGGTCAGAGTCATGGTGATGTCCTGTTCACTGCCATGTG